CTGGGTTGGGTTTTATAAGGGAAAGACATATATTAGCTTTTTTTTGGTCATTCATGCTGACTTTTAGTTTAGGTCTAGTTTTTGATGAAAAAAGGAGAGAAGGAGCAATGGAGTCATTATATTGTCATTTTGTGGCTAAGTAACATATATGGTTCCATTGAATAGATTCCTGTGAGGAATGCTACACTCAAATACTTTTCCTCTGTGTTTTTGTAATACTTTCTATGTATTTATCATAGCACATGTCCTACCAGTTATCTGTATTCGTGTTTATGTTTTAATCTCCACTAAAAATCCATGAGAGGGCCATGTCTCCCTTATCCTCTGATAGTTCCATGAATATAATAATAAGCACTTAATAAATGTTAACTTGGAAAATAATTTACAAAAATAAAACTTTTATAAATAAAGCCACCACAATTCTTTATTTGTATAAGATGTTTCCAACTTTCCTTCCTTCCTTCCTTTCTTAGAAAGTGAAACAGAATCAAGTTTGGACATGCCTTTTTATAGAAAATTCTAGCAAAGAGACAGGTAAGATGAAATTGACAGGAAGGAAAATGGACACTTGGAGTCAGCATGCTTGATATTTGTTTCTTTCTTTCTCACTTGACATTCCAATTACGTCTAAATCATGCTGGAATACAAACCATCGCTATCAATTACTGTCTTTCAGCAGATCTTATAGAGACAAATGATAGGGCTGTGACATTTGTCAGCTTTAGATGGAAATCTCCTGAGCAGCAGAAGCAAACCTTGGTGACCACTGCATAGAATGCTATATCCTGGGGCATACAACCTACACATGGGTTTCTAAAATGACTAATTCTTTCTCCTGTCTTTGCTCATTTTGGCATGTTTTTGGAGAGAAACAAACTTTCATCGCACCTCTGCTAGGATATGGTTTTATAATTTGAAACCATGCAACACATTTTTCCTCTTTCATCTCCACTTTGTGTTTAATTTATGCCCTTACCGCAGCTAATCCAAAAATGTTGAGACCCTTATTAAGGTCCCTTTAAACAAGAAAATTAGATTTTTATTGGGAATATATTTTCTATTTCCCTGTCCTCAAGAGCAAGCTATTTATTGCTCACTTTTCTTCACAATATCAAACACAAATCCCACTGGCATATAATGTGAACAGCTCAAACTTAATGATCTCATCCACTAAAAAGAAAGAACAATTATGCAGTACAATAGAGGTGCTAAGTATCACTAACATATCAATCATATTACAATACATACAGGGTCCAGCAGAAGTAATGCCTGCTTGAGTGTGGTTGGTAGAGTAATGTTATGGGTGTAATAATTTTTAGTTTTATTATGAGCATTTCACCTAAAATGTCACATGGTGTGCTTGAGTGTGATATTGTTATGTTACAGTTACATACTTATGATTTGGTAATAAAAGATTTAATAATAAAAGGGGCATAATTTGTGCCATAGCCTGTAAATGTATGAAATTAACACATTGTACACATTAAATTTACACAATGTTATACATCAGATATACTTATTTTTTACTTTATTTTTTTAAAGATTTTATTTATTTATCTTTAGGGGGGAAGGGAAGGAGAGAGGGTGAGAAATATCAATGTATGGTTGCCACGTGTGCATTTCCTGTTGGGAACTGGCCTGCAACCCAGGCATATGCCCTGACTGGGAATTGAACCACAATCCTTTGGTTCGCAGGCCTGCACTCAATCCCCTGAGCTACACTAGCCAGGGCCAGATATACCTAAATAAGAAATTTATTAATAGTCTTTCGATGTTTGCCCCACTGATAACTTCCCAAAAGTTGTGAACAGATTACTTAAAAGCTATAAGGTGTTTTGCTTCTGCCAGTTCTACTTCTTATCCTGGGGTGTTTAAAATGGTAAACCCAAATGATTATTTTGGGACAAACATGCCAAATACATGTACGTATCAATAATGAAATTTGGCTGAATGACACTCATTCAGATGCCTTTTGCACACTGACATTGTCACTTGTGCCATGTGTGCTCACTGACTGACAAGTTCCCCCTTAGTACCAGACTTAGGTTGCCGATCACCAGGAAACATCATAGCTACGTTCAGTTTCTGCCACCTGCAGCCTGAAAGGTCTGTCTTATGGGTAACTTGCTTAGTCACACATAGCATCAAATGGAATCCTGGTACTTAAAATTTTAAGTCATTGAATGTAATGCCTTTTAGGTAGCACTAATCTATTTATGTTTGCAGTGTTGAGTCCTTTATGATTCAGAAATAAAATTTGGCAATATTCCTCAAGCAATGACATTGTTTAAGGAAAGTGGAGGAAGTCCCTGTTGGTCATGAGGTCTTGGTGGGCTAATTCCTTTTCTAGCACACTACTGCAAAATAATGTCTTTTGGAAATAATTTTTTAAATTGGCTGCATATGTGTGGCCAGACAATTTCATTTCAAGCTAAATAAACACGATTAAGTCTGGTGGTTATTCAGATGCCACAGAAACATTCCAAATTCATTTTATCATGATAAATGTATAAGTGCTTTCCGGGAGTGGCAAGAACATACTTTTACCCATAATGCTTTATAAATGTTTGTTTAAATTTTTGAAGTTTTAATTATAAATAATCCCCACAAAAGTTATCTTAATTCTTTATCTCCACACTAGTTATACGCATGACTTTATATTCTTTGATAATCAGTCATGGTTCATATGTCTGTATAGATCCTATATAGATTGTGCTCTTGAATATTTTGACTAAAGAATAATTAGAACTAAAGCTAAACTTTGGCTGTAAAACTACAACTGACAAAGTTCAAGGGACATGGGATTTCTGACTCAGTTTTCAGGCTGGGGTATACTGGTTTGGTGGGGTAAGGGAAGGAATCCACATGAGGTAGAGCTGGCCAGCTTGAACACTGGTTTACAAGCAGGAGTACACTGATTTTATCTTTCTGGAATGCACATAGTAAAAATACTGAGACACTATCATGCAAAGAGGCAGCTGAAGGCAAGTTAAGTGCACTTATATGTTTAAAAGAGAGAATTATTGGAGTACCTCTATATGAGAGAAACTAAAGCACAAACCAAAAAACACATTTCAGTAAATTTTTATAATATACCAGAAAGAATCCTGAGCTGGCACTGTAGGCTGTGTGACCTTGCCAAAGCACTTCATTTCTCTGTGCCTGTCTCTCAGGTTAAAAGATGCAGAGTCCTAACCCAGCTTTAACATGTATAACACTTTTGTCACCAAAACAGAATCAAGAAGTGAAACTTATCAAAACTTTTAACATTTTGCAGGTACACAAACCCAAACTAATGACAACAATAGACACTGGGTACAGACTTTCATTGTGTATAGACCTAGAAAACCTGAAATGCTGTGGTGCACGGCTTCCTTGTTCATTTGTTTTCTGAAAGCAAGCATGCCTTCCATCCTGGATCACACAGGTAAGGCAGGAAGTGTGCATTCTCAATGCAAACCTGTTTTTACGTCATAGAAATACAATAAAATAATCACAAGCACTAGGAAGCAAAAAAGTAAGCCAAAAATAAAAAATGTATAAATTCTTTACTTATTTCAGAAAAAGGAACAAATTGCTATACTTAAATCAATGAGAACAATGGCTAAATTTTTGATAAAAGCAAAGCACGGTTGAGGAGCTTAAATTTGTGTTGGTAATAGACATGGAGGCACTTGGACAAATGTTCTCTTTTTTTATCTCCTTAACTAAAAATGTGGACCAGTATTTGCTATCAAAGAAGATAGAAGTAATTTAATTAAATTTGCTAGTAAGCACACCGTGCTTACAAAATTAACTTTAAAAAGAATATCAAAAGCTTTAACAGGGCCTAAAATCACTGTCATTGTTTGCAGTGTTGAGCAAGAGGCCCTGTGCTTTTCATCATTCCTTTCACATGGCTAGGTCCACCCACTTACCAGGGGAGGGTGCTGATTCAATGGCTGGCCTGGACTGTTGCTCGCAGAGGTGAGGAAAGAATGGGAAGAGAAGAGGTGGTGGTATTGAGCTGCTATGCTGAATCTCCTTATTCTAAGGCAGGCTGGGCCAGAGAGAGGTAGAATGGGGGGTGTCCTGAAGTAAGCAAGCTCACCTGTCACTTTTATGGTAATTGCAAATTTGTCTATTTACTAGTTTCACTTTGAGATCTTTGAGGGTAGAAGTGGTATGTTATTTTTTTCCCTATCTTACTGCAAGGCACATGGTAAGCACTTACTGTAGATTTATAAGAGGGATGAATAAATGACCCCCATCTCCTTTGGAGCTCCTTTCTCTCTCCAGTTTCATGTGTTAGGATAATTGATTATGTTAGGAAGTTCCTTCTTTAAAACTTCGGTGGCTCCCTTGAGTTTTCCTCCTTCAATTCATTCACGTCATGAAGTGAATTACTTTGATCTAGCAATCTGCAAGTGCCTGGATCTCTGGTTGGAGAAGCAGGCTATGAAGGGAAGGCCTCCAGGGGCTGAGGGCTTTGGACTACTGAAAGCAGCATCGTGGGGCTGACAGACCAAGGAAAGGACATAAGGGAGTCAAGAGGAGTTTATTCAGGGCCAGAGAGGCTACCTTTACAGAGATTCCACTTCCCAAGCCAATACAGATGGATTTGACAGCACAGGCTGCCAATTGTTTCTGTAAACACTTAGCATTTATAAACACGCAGCAGCCTGGTGATGCTGCTATTTGGTGGCCAAGCCTGGAAGCTGCACATTCCAGCTTTTCCCAAGTTACTAACCTGTATTCTATGGCCCAGATTAGTTGTGCTAATGAAGAAAAGAGAAAGGCCCCAATGTCCCCCTTGCTCCCCTTCTATTTTTATCATCAGTGTGGTCTAGCATCACTTTCACAGATTTTACCACTTAATAGGATATTTGGAATATGTTCCCTTGCTCTTTCTGACCACCCTCCCATGCCATTAATCTTAATCAACTAATACCCTCTCTTCCAAGCTTAGAATACAGGCTATGCACTCACAGGTCTCCTACGGGGCCTGGTAAGTCACCTACCCGCCTTCTTCTGAGTATTTATGCCCAAATGCCAGGATGTCGGATGCCCGTCCACTCCCATCACAGACAACGACCGGCACGGGAGGGGTGTCTCGAAGGTACTCCAAGACAATTGAGATCACATTGGGTCCTCCTTCCACAATGAGCGCCACCACTGGAACACCTTGACCAATTCCTGCATTAAAAAATGAAAATAAAAGGAAAAAAGAGAAAAGAACACAAAGCCAGCACACCAAAGAGACAAAAAAAGAGAAAAAAAGCACAAACTAAAATTACTGAGCACAGGGGAAGGTAACAACATATGAGGGAATAAAATACTGAGCAAAACTTAACGGAAAACCCATCAGCAGAATGCTCCCACCAGAAAGTCTCTGACTTTGCCATTTCCCAACACTTCCCAGGATGCTGGGAGCTCAAGGTACTGATTATCATACTTTACAGGCAAGGGCAGGCGGGGAGGAGAGAGAAAGGGACTGATTAGTAGATGAAGCCCTGGGCCAGCAGCCAAAGGTTGGAAGACAAAGGTGATATTAAACAAGTCTTGTATGTATTCATTGGTTCAGTTTCTTACATGAAAAATGGGAAGTTAATAATTCCTTCTTCCTGAAGCCAACGCAGTGGTAAGAAAATGTTTAAATGGTTCTTTTTATCAAAATCAGCTGAAAGCATATTTTAACTTGTCGAATCAACTACTGGCTAAATAATGGGTTTATTTCTGACCACAAATGATCAGAATTGATTCTTCTATTGATTATTGATTCCTAGCAGCATAATAGTTATAATAAGGTGCCGGGAGACATGGCATCTGCCATCTGCCGTTACAGCATCCTTCGTACTGAGCATGGTGCCAGGCACATGGCGGCTGGTCAGTAAACATTTGTTCAATCCAGTGGTTTCACTGACCTTTCTTAAAATATTTAATCTATTTATGCTGAACCATAAGACACTGCTGTTTTTAAGTAAAAATTAGCCTAACATCAGCACTTACCTATAGCTCAATCTAACATATCAAAAAGAACTATTAAAAACAAATGTCTATGAGAGACATGTGAAAGAAATCAAATTCATTTTCAAGTGTCTTATCAAGTATCATCATTTGTCACTGAATACTCAATTTGGTATCACACTGCATTTTCTCATTCAACCTTCTTGGGTTTTGTAGGGTACACAAAACAGTTGTCTTAAAAAAAGTGCTAATCAAGATTCTATACTACTCTAATCTATCAATAGGAACTAAAATAAACCTTCAGTCATCTTAGTTCTCCCTCTTCCCCCTTCAGCTATGGTTTTATCTTATATCAAGAAACCGCTTTCCTGTGAGAAATACTAGTTTGGGGATTGGTTTCTTGCTCCATTAATAAGAAATTTTATTTGACTTGTGTATAACCTCTTTTACTTCTGAATCACTGTTTTCTCATGGCTTGATTTTCATCTTAACAGAGTGTTCCAAAATGCCAGTTATAAAAAATGGGTGCTGTTTTAAATCTACATTTTAAAAGTATAAAAAAGAATGACGTTGTTGATCAAGACCAGATGCAAAGATTTGTTGTTGTTGTTCCCCAGAGGGAACTGGGAGAGAGAGAGAGGACTCATGATCCCACCAGAGTTTTCTGTGTGTGGAGTTCTGAGAGTTCCTCCTTCAAATCCAAGGAGAAGGAAGTGAAAGGCCATGCTGCTCTCTCCTTTGACCCAGAAGCCCTTCATGACTTGCACAAAAGGTTGCTTGAAAGCTCTGTTTGGGTGTCTCTAAGGAAGACCCTTTTCCCACTGCTGCTGATTAGAGGTTTAAGTAAATTCCTGTTGAAAGGCACTTTGAAGATTAACATCTCATTTGAAATGTTAATATAGCACATTTCTTTTGGAGGAGAATTTGCTGACATAAAAAATACCTAGCCCTATAGATTTGTATTTTAATGTGTCTTGGAAGTGTGTATTTTCCAGCATTTAAAAAGTCAGTTTATAAAGTATTTCTCAAAGTACTATGCTGTTTAACTTTTGTTTTTGTTTAGTTTTAGCACTTATTCCCATATTGCTTCATTTCAAGAAACAATGAGCCACACATCATATTTTATATCAAATGATATATTTGGACTTATTCTAGGATCCTCTAAGGGAGAAGTTTTCCAAAGTTTTACTCTTGAGCACTGATCCTGTCTGTGGGATCTTTACTCCAACTCACACAAAAACCGTGATCTACTCAGTTTTCTCACAGAGGAAGAAATCATGAAGTGGACTTTCTAGAATGTTCCAGTGATCTAGAGTCTACAAGACAATAGACAAGATGGCTGGAGACCACTCTTAGTTTATGCGTGCAAAGGATCAATTTTAAAAAGATGATCTGGGACCAATAAATTGTCTGCTTGTAATTAAGTTGTTATACCTTCTGAAAATGCAAAGGTTTAGAGTCCTATGTTAGAAATAAAGTTGTAGTCAATTACAGTGATGAAAAACTATATCAATTTTATATATATTTATAATAAGCAGATTAAATTTGCTAAGATATGGTAACATTAAGCCTTTCTATTAAAACACACAAACATACACACATGTTATCTTTATTTCTGAGAAAAGAAAACCTTGAATAATTAGTAATGACCTAAAACAATGGTTCTTAGCCTATTTTTTAGATATCAGGATGTTTTAATACTTTCATGGATCTGATGACAGCTATTCACACTTTCTCTGAAAAAAATAACTGCACATATGGACAGTCACAAAAATACTTCTTTGCAGTTTCAGAGGGGTTCGTGGATACTTGAAGCCTATTGAAAAACTTGCTAATGGACCCCTATATAACCCCACCCTAAAATAAGCACATTGGGATATCTGCAAAAAACATTGACTTGTGTTCTTTTATAAAGCTCACTGAGGCCTATGAGACAAGTTCTGAAATGGGTTTTCAAACAAAACTGTGCCCAGGGAAGCTATAGCATGTTATTGCTGCTTTGTTACAATGATTGGCTTAACTTCCCAGGATGAAGCACTATCTATAGGCTATTCTCTTCCCTCCCCTTCATTTATCTTCTTGTTTTTGTTTCTTCTGCCCACAGTTTCATTCTAAATTACCTTTTATAGAGTGTTAAAAATACTCTATAGAGAAATGAACAAACTTACAAAATAATATCTGTAGTACATAACTTCATTAGTAAAGAAAACACTTTTTAAAATATCAAGAGTGGTCTATTTTTTCATTGTTGACATAAAGCAGACTGGGCATCAACTGCAGACCCAGGTGGGTGCCCAGGGCCCACACCATTTTCTTTACGCTCATAAAAATCAATACAACTTCCTTTAAACATCCTCTCAAATGTATGCCTTACTTGGCCAAACCCATCAACCATTCACAAAAATAGTTGTTTAGACCCATGGTTTTAAAAATATAATCTCTATTATTTAGGGAAAAGAAGTTTAATTTTATCTAGATCCCCCAGGAACCTTTTTGTGAATACTTGTTCTTTTAGTTTGGAGGAAAAGTAGGTTAATTTCTTGTTTGATTGCAATAATTTTTCATTTTCTACCATAACCAAAGACTTGCAGTAGTTCTTAGAGATACTAAATTTCCCTTAGAATTTAATTTTAGAGTCATGTAGATTTGTTTAAGAATCTTTTGTAGATTCTTGCCACACTCTAGCTTTTGCAGTTTTAGAACTGGATGCATGATAGCCTACAAAAACGTGTGCATGAGTCACGGATTTAGTAGCTATATTCTGCAGGATGACTGAGGGCTCTCAAATTACAAACTAAACCCAACTGTGTTTCACAGAAGATAATCTCTTAGACTTCCGTCACATTTTGTTGTGACTGTGATGCAGTTTAACCTGGGCTCCCAATAAGCGAAAAGTGTTAAAACTGGCTTAAACAAAGACTGGGTGGGGTGTTGTGAGGAAGGGAGGAGGAAGGAATGGAAGAATGTCTCGAAATTCCAAAGGCCTTTTTTCTCTCTTCCTCCCTTTTTCTACTGACACAAGACTGTAATTTATGATTGGTTCGGGCACTTGAGAAAGCATGTGGTGTGTTGCAGTGAACTGCTTAGACAGCTGAAAAGTTTGATCAAACTGTATTAACACTTTGGTTTTATGTTAACATCAAACTGAACTAACACATTGGTTTTACAACAACACCACCATATATGATGTAAAATGCCTATAAGCCTAAAGAATACTTTATTTGCTGTTGGAAAATGGTTTATATTTACATGGAGTTAGAATGTAGCAGATGGATCTTTAGCTAAATCCTAATGACAAAGGCCACACAGATCATATGATTATTGCAGCATACGTTATTTGTAAAGGAGGATTTGAGTTTTATGTGAGAGGCAACTTCCTGAAGATCTTGAGCAATTCAGGACTGTGTCTATACGTGGTGGGTGGATGTTTGTGTTTAACAGCTAAAACCGTATAGCAATAACGTGAACACAATTCACTGGCCTTGTCAGCTCTGGAATTAAGTGATTCTTGATTTAGAAGTTTGTGTGAAGAGTTCATATGCTTTGAAATTATGCCTACCATGAGACCTTATTAATATGTTTTATTTTTTATAATTTAAAATTTGCATAGTTAAGTTTTGCATAAAATTAAAAAGCATGGAACATGTCCCCTTCATCCAATTTGTCCCTTAAATGGCCTTGTCTTTGATTCAATGGTTGACTTAACCAACAAAACACTGACTACCCAGTATGTAGTCCAAATACATTTATTGTATTTGGACTACATAATGGGGCCATAAAACTCAGCAACCACCTGAGATCGTGCATTTTTCAAATAGAACCTTACATAGACTCGGGGGAAACCAGCAATTACTGTAGTGAGGGGAAGGGTAGCAGTTAAGCTATTCGTCTCATTTGAATGGTCTCTTATTTACTGCCTACTTGAAAAGAAATGGCCCAGACTTGCACAATACCATAGCATCTCACAAATAGTTCCAGATTTAGATTCTTGATGTCCTTAACTTTTACTGCCTCTCTTCTGTGGTCTGGAAGTTGTGGGATGGATTTATGAAAACTTCACAAGGCTGGTAATCAGTTGTGTTTAACTGGCAACATTCAAAATTATTCTTGTTGATCCAGTTTAAGGTGCTTCTTACAATTAGGAATATTCCCAGGACATGAATATTCAGGTACAACTGAATATTATTATTCAGAAAGAGAATGTTTACTATGCTATATTATACAAAAAA